CCATTAACTAGAGAGAGAAGTCTAAGTTCAGAAGAAGGAAATATATTCCTCAAGCAGCCAAAAACATGAACAAAAACAATAAGTACAACTCAAGAGTTTATATACAACATAAAAATGTCCTTCGGAAGCATGCTAAAAGAGACAGCGAACCGATAGCATTTAAGATCCTCCCAAGTGGGAAATAAAACATGAAGGTGGAAATGAACGCTTTTGGCACGAATACAATAAATCCAAATTTTTAAAATAGAATTACGAAAATAAGGTATTTACTAAGTGAGTTCAGGGGATCTAACATCCCCAAAAGACTAAGATTGATCAGTTCGTTATCGGCATATGTGCATACTGTGCGGATTGCCTCGATATTGTTTTAAGTTACAAGCATTCTAAGTAACAATGGATAGTGGCTAGCAGTGAAATCCAGGACGCGCGTTTCTTTCCATTTGGTACTCGTCAGCCGGATGTACCTGCACCCCACAACTGTTGTTCACTCCGAGACTCAAACTCAGTACCATTCGCTTTAAATGCCATCCCCTTGTCTACTTAACTACTTAGTCCTAATAGCCACTTTCTTGTGCAATGGGGTGAAATTTGAATTTACTTAGTGTTGTTTTACTTGTATCTTCTCATTGATGCTTAGAACTGCAATTGATCAGTGTCTTATTGGCATTTTGTTATCTCAGTAGCTAAGTGGACAACGTAATGGTGTTTCAAATGAACGGCACTGGGTTCGAGTACTCCAGAGTGAACATCAACTCTTAGATGAAGGTACATCCAGTTGATGAGTCCCAACTTCGACAAAACGCTCGTCCTGGATTCCACTGCTAGTCACTATCCATCTTTGGTTAAAATACTTGTGACTTAAGTCTATGTCGAGGTAATCCGCACATGATGTGCATATGTCAATGAGGGACTGATCAACTGAACTCCTAAACATCAATGAGAAGATTCAAGTAAAATAGCACCATGTGAATTTAATGACGTACAAGTTTATATGTTACATAATCGACATTTATGTTGGTAAAGGAAAATAGTGTTATGACGTAAGAACATGTGATCGAGTGAATGAGTGAGTGAGCGAATTAGTGAGTGCGTGAATGAGTGAGCGAATGAGTGAGTGAGTGAGTGAGTGAGTGAGCGAGTGAGTGAGTGAATGAGTGAATGAGTGAATGAGTGAGTGAGTGAGTGAGTGAGTGAGTGAGTGAGTGAGTGAGTGAGTGAGTGAGTGAGTGAGTGAGTGAGTGAGTGAGTGAGTGAGTGAGTGAGTGAGTGAGTGAGTGAGTGAGTGAGTGAGTGAGTGAGTGAGTGAGTGAGTGAGTGAGTGAGTGAGTGAGTGAGTGAGTGAGTGAGTGAGTGAGTGAGTGAGTGAGTGAGTGAGTGAGTGAGTGAGTGAGTGAGTGAGTGAGTGAGTGAGTGAGTGAGTGAGTGAGTGAGTGAGTGAGTGAGTGAGTGAGTGAGTGAGTGAGTGAGTGGGAAGAGACAAAGCAAAACAGGAGAGTATGGAATTGAACATTTATAACAAAATAAACACAATTACACACTTTAATCTACATGAATTGTTCTTTTTCCTCTCTTTTCTTTCTTTCGTTTTTTTTGTTGTTGAAAAAAAACATGGATTTGTAAACAAAAAGATAAAAGGCCACTTTGTAACCGACTAATTATTCTATATTGTATCATGTCAATCAATAAAAGTCATAATAAGTAGTAAATCATGTGCTTGATAAACTACATATATATATGGATACTATCATGCTCCCCCCCTCTCTCTCTTTTCTTTTCTCTCTCTATCTACAAATTGTCAGCTGATAAACAACCTCGCAACAACGACGACAACAACAACAAAAACTGTATATCTTTGTTTAACTGAAATCAATAGATGAAAACTGTATGCTAAGTCTTTTTTTTTGAAAAAAAAAGAAAAAAAAGAGGAAACAATATTGTGTACCATCAAATTGAATTGTCTTTTTCTATGTAATAATGAATTGAAGAGAAAAAAAATTATTGATTAGTTCATTTCATTTATGAAATTATATAAAGATTATTGTAAGCAATGATGGATAGTGGCTGGCGGTGGAATCCTTAATGGAAAGATACCAGCTAAACAATACCAAGTGAATTTAAACTAAAACCCACTGCATAAACAGGTAGCTATCAGGATTCAGTAGCTAAGTGGATGAGGCGATGGCATTTGAAGCGAATGGTACTACTGGGTTCGAGTACCCCAGAGTGAACATTAACTCTCTGAGATACATGTACATCCAGCTGACGAGTCCCAAATGGGATGAAACGCGCGTCCTGGATTCCACTAGTAGACACTATCCATTACTGTTTATAAAAAGCTTGTGAATTAAGACAATATCGAGGCATACGCACAGTATACACATATGTCAATAACAGACTGATCAATTGCAGTCTTAAACCTCAATGGGAAGATACAAGTCAAACAATATCAAGTAAATTATATAAAGATTATTGTTAATTAATATTGGTATAATTTATGATTGTGTAGATAAGAGATTATGAATGTGTATTGTTCAAAATATTCCCGATCCGGATAACTCAGTGGTAATATTGCTTTTTAATCTGCTTATGTCTACTTCTCATTCCTAAACCAGTGTATTCTTTGGTCTTCCACTTTTCTGTTTCTCTTGAAAATTCCAAGTTAGGGCTTGCCTTGTGATGTAGTTTGATGACTTCCACAATGTATGTCCTATCCAAACTCCATCCGGAACCTCTCTAGGGCTACTGCCAGTAGGTTGGAGAATACTAGTCGGCGGCCTATGTTCCACTGGGGGTAACAGGCGTAAGTAAATAAACATCGTTTCGTAATTTCGTCTTCAGATGAAAGTTGATTTGTTCTCTCCTACAGTAAGCTGTTGTTGATAGTATCTGATCAACGAACAATGAGTATCTTCTGTAGACAATTGTACATCAATACTTGCACTTGTTTGATGATGGTTGTAACAATTCTGAAAGTTTCAGGTCCATACAGTAAAATAGTCTTCATTGTTCAACTCCATGAATAATAAATTCTAACTAGAACCTTAAGAAATCGAGAAATCATAACAATAATTTAATCGTAAATCTAACGTAAATACACACCATAGTACTGACAAAGTTGTTAAATTTAAGTTTATTTATATTATATAATCGGATCTGTAGTTAGAAATGTTCTAACTGTTTTATACTTTAAAGAAATCGTTAGAGATTTCAATGGTTGAGATCGTCAGTCAATTGAAGCTCGACCACTATGGAAAACCTGGAAGCACTGAATGACCGTTTCGTCCTACTATGGGACTCCTCAACAGTGTGTATCCATGATCTCGCCTCGCATGATTCGAACCCAACACATATCAGTCTCACGTGCGAGCGAGCGCTCGACCATTAGACCACTGAGCCGGCCGGTATCCAATGGTGTCAGTGTCTAACTTCAACTAGTCTAGGAAATCGAGCGACACATCCAACATTATCATCGGTGAATTACTATCTCAAAACAGAACTGGTTGACCTCCATATATGCTCTATGTATGTAATTAACAGTTCTCTATAAGCAATAATACTTTTTTATTACTGATATGCCTAAATCAGCGTGTTTATTACTCATCATATTAAAACAATATGACTCTATTTGTAAATTACCAGATTCAATAATTAGTTCCCGGTATACTATACAATACTACAAGTTGACTCATTGGAATATAATACCCCCGTTTTTATGATTAGATACATATGACTTCTATCATTTCTATGCATCATTCTAGTTAGTCTAAACAATGAATACAATTGGAATATACGGTAACTATGATTAAATATAAGAATTCCATGTAACCTTTTTGTGATTTATCCCATTGTCATAGAAAATATCAACGATATATATGTTGTGAGAATGAGGATTTTGAGTGTGTTTTTTTACAGCTAATAGTTGAATTCATGAATGAATGTAAGTAAGACCACCATGTAAAACCTAAAAGTACTAGATAGCTGTTTCGTTCTTCTCAGTAATATGCAACTACGATCTTGTACATGGGACTCGAACCTAGGAGTTTCAGTCTTTGCTATTAAACAAGATTGAGCTATATTGTTTAGCTTGTCATATGAAACTATAGATGGTGTACAGTTCTCTTGAAAATCAATGTAAAATTATCTTAATCTATAAGGATTATATTATATCTTATCATTGTATGGAATAAACTTTAACCACCACCCTCAATATTTATGTTAAATCAAGGTTTCATACTAGTAGGTATTCGTTATTAATGATTTACCAGTAATTTGGAGAAACTATCACCATTGGATGCCAGCTCAGTGGTCCAGTTGGTTAAGCGTTCGCGCGCGAGATCGAAGGCCCTGGGTTCGAATCCCACGAGCTGGATCGCGGATGCGCACTGCTGAGGAGTCCCACAATAGGACGAAACGGCCGTCCAGTGCTTCCAGGTTTTCAATTGTGGTGGTCTAACATCAATCGGTTCATGATCTCAATAAAAAATCTATAGTGATATAAATTTCCCCATATCATAGTTAGAAACATTTATTCAAAGTTAAAAATTCAATTGTCTCTCAAATAGTAACATTATTACAAAGCCCCCCCCTTTCCCCCTCCCCCTAAATGTACATTATTGTTATCATGACTGGATTCATTATGTTTCATCTATTCAATATGTTGTTAGTTAAATATATACATAGATGAACATTAATGCATAGAAAAATTAACATTGTATTTATCATCCCTTAAACTTAATCATACATGACAGATATCTTAAGAACACACATAGATACCTATGGATACCTAAAGATACCTGAAGATACCTACGGATACCTATAGATACCTTTCTCCATATTTCTTAAAGTTAATTTTACCATTTTACTATTAAACAAAGAGAAAATTGTCAAAAATCTGATATGTTCACTTCCTGTCGGTAGCCACCCATTATTCAAACTAAGTATAGATATATTGATATTCTCATGAATAATTTATTGGTTCATAATAAAAACAACAGTCAATATTATTTAGTTATATTCATTGAATAAAAGTTAATTACCGACATTAATATAGAAAAGGTAGATGATGATGATGATGATGATGATGATGATGATGATGATGATGATGATGATGATGATGATGATGATGATGATGATGATGATGATGATGATGATGATGATGATGATGATGATGATGATGATGATGATGATGATGATGATGATGATGATGATGATGATGATGATGATGATGATGATGATGATGATGATGATGATGATGATGATGATGATGATGATGATGATGATGATGATGATGATGATGATGATGATGATGATGATGATGATGATGATGATGATGATGATGATGATGATGATGATGATGATGATGATGATGATGATGATGATGATGATGATGATGATGATGATGATGATGATGATGATGATGATGATGATGATGATGATGATGATGATGATGATGATGATGATGATGATGATGATGATGATGATGATGATGATGATGATGATGATGATGATGATGATGATGATGATGATGATGATGATGATGATGATGATGATGATGATGATGATGATGATGATGATGATGATGATGATGATGATGATGATGATGATGATGATGATGATGATGATGATGATGATGATGATGATGATGATGATGATGATGATGATGATGATGATGATGATGATGATGATGATGATGATGATGATGATGATGATGATGATGATGATGATGATGATGATGATGATGATGATGATGATGATGATGATGATGATGATGATGATGATGATGATGATGATGATGATGATGATGATGATGATGATGATGATGATGATGATGATGATGATGATGATGATGATGATGATGATGATGATGATGATGATGATGATGATGATGATGATGATGATGATGATGATGATGATGATGATGATGATGATGATGATGATGATGATGATGATGATGATGATGATGATGATGATGATGATGATGATGATGATGATGATGATGATGATGATGATGATGATGATGATGATGATGATGATGATGATGATGATGATGATGATGATGATGATGATGATGATGATGATGATGATGATGATGATGATGATGATGATGATGATGATGATGATGATGATGATGATGATGATGATGATGATGATGATGATGATGATGATGATGATGATGATGATGATGATGATGATGATGATGATGATGATGATGATGATGATGATGATGATGATGATGATGATGATGATGATGATGATGATGATGATGATGATGATGATGATGATGATGATGATGATGATGATGATGATGATGATGATGATGATGATGATGATGATGATGATGATGATGATGATGATGATGATGATGATGATGATGATGATGATGATGATGATGATGATGATGATGATGATGATGATGATGATGATGATGATGATGATGATGATGATGATGATGATGATGATGATGATGATGATGATGATGATGATGATGATGATGATGATGATGATGATGATGATGATGATGATGATGATGATGATGATGATGATGATGATTCATTTATTACTATTTAATATACACATAGATACATAGATACATACATTATTTATCTCATTGTTTATAACAGAATAAACGAAAATGTATTCTAATGTGTCAGACTATTAAAAAAGAGAAAAGAATGAAGTGACAACAGTAATTCAATTGAACATGGACTCATTAGTGACAGTCTCCAATAAGTATTTCTTGGAGTTCTAGTAAGAAGTGACCAGTGGAGTTCAATTGGGTCTGTTATGAGATAGTAATTCACTGAAGACAGTGATGAATGTGTCATTGAAGCTGGTGAATTAGTTGATATTAGACATTAACACTGTTGGATGTCTGCCGGATCAGTGGTCTAATGGTTAAGCGTTCGCTCACACGTGAGACTAATAGGTGCTAGGTTCAAATCTCGTGAGGCGGGACCATGGATGCACACTGTTGAGGAGTCCCACAATGGGATCAAACGGTCATCCAGTGCTTCCAGGTTTTCCATGGTGATCTAGCTTCAATTGACTGATGATTTCGACTACTAAAATTACTAGAATAACCACAAAATGCCTTTTGATAGTAATTTAAATCGTCACGTACAATGATTTACTTTAATGGAAAAAAGATTACTACTATGGTAAAACTTATCTTTGGTAATTTATAACCTGTTCAATAATAAGTAAATTAGAGATAATAAATATTGTAACCAATAACTGAACATGAATGGTTTGTTGTGGAAGTAAAGGTGAGGATTGACAAAGTAAGGACAGGATTCCTACAGTTGAAAAATATATGGAACTCAAAACAACTATCTGTAAGCCAAAATCAAAGTCAATACGAACGTCAAGACAGTTCTAGTGTATTAACCTGAAATATGGATAACAACTACACAACCATCATCATCAGTGTACAATTATTTATGAACAATTATCTACATAAGATACTCAATGTCCGTTGACTGGATACCGTTAGCAACAGTTTATAAACCAGCTTCCAAATGAAGAGGAAATTAGGAAAAGACATTGGAGGTGAATAGGACATACATCAAGGAGATCACCAAACTGCATCACAAGGCAAGTTCTAACACGAAATCTTGAAGAGAAACGTAAAAGTGGAAAGCTCAAGAACACATTGAATCGAGAATTGGAAGCAGGTATGAAAAAAAAGGAATTCCAATTGGAAAGAACTGGAAAGGATTACCCAGGATAGAGTTCGATGGAGAATGTTTATGGACGGCGTATACTCCTCCATGAGAGATAGCTGGTGTAAATAAGTAATTATTGAACAGTTTTAATGTATTAATCTATATTCATAGTTTATTGAATATTATTAGATTTAGATTTCGACATTAACCTCTTGAGAAAATCATCAACTCTATCAATTTGTAATCATTTCAAGATTTTAACTATCCAGGCTAATTCAACGGCAATGTATAGATACTTTTATATGAAAATTGAGAGTATATTTAACATAGAAACATTTATTTCATATGTAAATGTTTAAACTTTCTTATCGTTGAATGTAAACACTGTAAATGATCAGTAAGAATTCAGGTATACCGAGATTTGTACTTACGCTTATTATTCCTCGTGGAGGAGCATAGGCTGCCCACCAGCATTCTACATCCAACCCTGTCCCAATCAATCCTTTCCATTTCTTTCCAGTTGCTATTTATCCTTCTCATGTCTACTCCCAATTCCCAAAGCAGTGTGTTCTTCGGGCTTCGTCTTTTCCGCTTCCTTCACGACTCCAAGTTAGGTCTTGCCTCGTAATGCAGTTTGGTGATTTCTGTAATGTATGTAATATCCACATCCAACGACTTTTCCTAATTTCTTCTTCTTCGGAAGCTGGTTTGTCCTCTACCACAGTAGGTTGTTGATGATGGTATCCAACCAACGAATATTGAGTATCTTCCGTAGACGACTGTTTATAAATACATGTACATTTTTGATTATTGTTGAATTAGTTCTCCAAGTTTCAGTTCCGTACAGTAGAATTAACTGTATTGACTTTCATATTGAAGATTCTCACTTTGATATTGACTAGCACACAGTTGTTTCGAGTTCAATTTGTTGTTCAACTGTAGGAATGCTGTGCTTCCTTTGCCAATCCTCGTCTATCAGTCTGCATCGGATCCTCCTTCTTCATCGATGATGCTTCTCAGGTATGTGAAGGATTCCACATCATTCAGAGTTTCGCCATCAAATGTGATTGGCTTGGTGTTCTTCGTGTTGTATTTGAGGATTTCGTTTTTCCCTTGTGTATTTTGAGGCCTACTGATGCAGAAGCTGCTACTACATTCGTTGTCTTCATCTACATTTCTTCGTGTGTACGGGGTGCACATATACTAATGTCTAAGATCTAGTCTTAATCAATTAATATTTGACTAAGTAAGCATATAAATATAGTTTGTCTGTCAAAAACAAACATTTCAAAGTGAACAAGTCAAAACATGAAATAATAAGTCACTTCTTAAATGGAAATATCACTGTAACTTTTGATGATTATAATGAGAGTTATTGTGTACTTGAGGTTTAGACAACTTAAGTTATTCACTTGGTATTGCTTGTTTGTATCTTCCCATTGATGTTTAGCACTGTAATTGACCATTCGCTTATTGGCATATATGCATCCTGTGCGTATTGCCTCGGTATTGCCTTAATTCAAAAGTATTCAAAGTAAAGATGGATAGTGGTTAGAAATGGAATTCGGGACTCGCGTTTCGTCCTGAGATCCAAGTACATCCAACTGACGAGTCCCAAATAGGACGAAACGCGCATCCTGAATTCCACTACTAGCCACAAATGGATATTCTCAGTAAAAAAAAATTTCTTTTACACAGCTTTATAAAAGTTTCAATGATATCAAAGTGACTTCATGTTGTTCTATATAAATTGTAGTTTTTACTAGTTTAAAGTTTAGAAATCAGTCACTAGCTATCAACATAGGGCTTGATACAAATATACCCCAGTTGGTATTCCTCACACTGTTATAGTGTAAGACAATTAGAAGATTCCACAGATTGAAATCATGAGTCAGTTGAAGCTAGACCACCATTGAAAACGTGGAAGCACTGGACGGCCGTTTCGTCCTAGTATGGGACTCCTCAGCAGTGCGCATCCACGATCCCGCACCACGCGGGGCTCGAACCCACGACCTACTGGCTTCGCGCGCGAGCACTTAACCACTAGACCACTGAGCCGGCATCCAACGATGTTAATGTCTAACTTCAACCAATCCACGAAGTTGCGCCACCGTACACCATTGTCTTCAGTGAGTTACTATCTCACAACAGACCTGGTTGAACTCCACTGGTAACGGCTTCTCACTAGAACTCCAGGAGTTTTTCCTGAAGTCAGTCACTAGTGAGCAGTTGATTATTATCGGAATGGGTTTTGTGGAGATTTTAGAAATTTCACAGATTGAAATCATGAGTCAGTTGAAGCTAGACCACCATTGAAAACGTGGAAGCACTGGACGGCCGTTTCGTCCTAGTATGGGACTCCTCAGCAGTGCGCATCCACGATCCCGCACCACGCGGGGCTCGAACCCACGACCTACTGGCTTCGCGCGCGAGCACTTAACCACAATTAGAAGATTTTTGTCAGTATGTGATTTTCTAAATTAGAAAGAAATGTTAAATTATCATTGAATCTTTGAAGTCCTAAATGGCCGTTTAACCCTAGTAAGGGATTCTTCAACAATGTTCATTCATGAACTTTCACGTAGGACTCGAACCGGAGATCTTCAGTCTTATACATGGACGCTTAAACTCCAGATCTTAACATTCAATATCTATGGTTCGATTCCCGGATATGCATGACGGTTCAGGTTTTCCAGCTTCTCAATGGTGGTCTAATTTAGATTTAAATCAAATATAATCATCACAATAATTGAAGATAATAAGACAGATTGAATAAAACTGATTTATGAAAGATAAAGAGGGAATGTAGATGGTGAATCATTTTGTGTGTTTGTATGTGGGTGTGTGGATTAACTAAAATAATTATATTCCAATTAAGTTAATCTAATCAATTGTTATGAGTTTATTCCCTATAGGAATTAATTGTTTCTGCTGAATAAGCATAAGCTGCCCACCTGTACTATCCATCCAACCTTGTTCTGAACAAATCATTACCAGTTGTTTCCAGTTGTTATTGATCATTTTCATATCTGCTACTAATTCTCAATGCAATGTGTTCCTCAGTTTACCTTGAAACTGATAACTTGCTTACTTGTTTATTTACTCCAGTTACTCCCAATGGAGCATAGGCCGTCTCCAACCCACTCTGTCCTCGGCCTTTCTATCCAGTTCTGTCCAATTCTTCTCATGTTTGTCTCCATTTATCGAAATATTGTATTCTTCGGTCTTCCACTTCTCCTTCTTGGACCTTGGGAATTCCATGTGAGGGTTGGCCTTGTGATGACGCAGTTCGGTGCTTTCCTCAATGTGTGTCCTATGACACTTCCAGCACTTCTTCCTGGTTTCTTCCTCCACTGGAATCTGATTTGTTCCCTCCCTTAATAGTAGGTTTTGCTGATAGTTTCTGGGTAGACGGATCCGAAGTATTTTGCTTAGGCAACTGTTAATAAACACTTGTATCTTGTGGATGATGGATTTCGTAGTTCTTGCAAGTTTCCACTCCATACAGTAGAACTGTCTTGACATTTGTATTGAAAATTCTGACTTTGATGTTGGCTTGTGGACATTTGTGTTTGGGTTCCGGATGATCTTCAGTTGTACATATGCTGCTCTGCCTGAAAACCCCTGGAGCTACTACCGGTCTCAAGCTCGGATAACGAAAGAGGGTAAATTAGTCATTAATCTAAATTTTAAAACTTAATAACATAATTATATTCAAGTGGACATCAAATTTGAAAAGTTAGTGGTTGAGGTTATCAAATGATGAATACCGAAAAAATTGAAAGGTATGATGCAACTCCAGTTTTTCGAATACGCTTCTGTTTGTTTATTGATTACGTCCAATAAATGTTACAATGTTTTATTGAAATCATGAACCGACCAATGTTAGGTCACAACTAAGAACCTATGAACACTGAACGGCTTTCCTTTCCCAGTATGAGACTCCTCAGCTGTACACATCCACCACCCTGCATGCGAATTCGTACTGCAAAAGTTCGGTCCCTTCGTCAAACATTTGACTTCTAGACTACTGAGCTGTAATCCAACGGTCTTATTGTCTAACTTCTGTATTGTTGAATATACGGTTGTCATGGTCTAAAAACTAACAAGTAGCTTTATAATGATCAGTCATCCTACTTAGTGACCATATTGCAGATTAGACAAAGTAGATTCGTATTTTGGACTCATCAACTGGATGTACCTGAATCCTTGAGTTGATGTTCACTCTGGGACTCGAAGACAGTACCGTTTGTTTCAAACACCATCGTGTTATCCACTACTAGCCAGTATTCATGTTTGCTTCAAATATTGGTGAATTAAGGTAATATAGCGACAATCCGAACAGTATGCACATATGCCAAAAAGCAACATCAATAGGAAGATTCATATAAACAATACTAAGTGAATGATTTGATTTGTCAGTGTTTATTTAATCCAAATGATATGAAATAATCAACTGAATATAATTGTGAACCCATTTCATAAATTTCATAATCTGTTTACTGAAATCGGTGTAATAATGCGTGTCGGGTAGAAACAGGTGTCTACCTCAGTAAAATGGAAGATGGTCCCGCAATTTCGTGGATTGGTTGAGGTTAGACATTAACACCATTGGATGCTCAGTGGTTCAGTAAGTTAAGCGTTCGCGCGCGAGACTGAAGGCCCTAGCTTCGAATCCCGCGAGCGGGATCGTGGATGCGCACTGCTGAGGAGTCCCACAATAGGACGAAATGGTCGTTCAATGCTTCCAGGTTTTCAATAGTGGTCTAAAATCAATCGGCTCATGATCTCAATCAAAAACAAACTTGTTCGTTTCAGACATTTAATTCATTTAGTTGAGACTGATCATATGGTTGATATCTAATTAGCCTTTGTAGTATTGTACAAAAGATTTCAATAAGCGTATACTAAGATTTATTAAAGCCTTGATTATACATAAATTGAAACTCCCTTTATGCGTTCAAAACACAATTTGTCCTTACCCTTAAGCTACCCTGATAATAAGGAATTGTTATTCACATATTGTTTTTGTGTACTTTTTTATTCTTTGTTTCTACTTCCCTTTTAGTTTGTTTAGTTGACCTTTTAGTTTTCATATATAAATGTTCTTAACAAGTACATTATGTAGTGATAAGATCACATATTGCATAATGTTGATAAACTTCGTCTTCATAGATTTAGTTAAATATCAGGCAATGAAACATGTCAAAATGCTGTCAGTCAAT